AACATTGTTTCTATGAAGAAAAAAGCATTTCAAGTTTCCAAAACTTGATTTAATAATGGTTGACAACAGTTGATATTTATATAGTACTTTTAAAACTTGCAACAGAGTTGGTACACATCTCATTTTAGCCTCGCAAAGGCCCCACGAAGGATGACAGATTTTATCATTCCCATTTTATGGATTAGAAAACTGAGGTTGAGAGGTCAAATGATTTGTCCAGGGTCATACAGCTAGTAAATTTCAGTCATGAAATTACTGCTGCTAAAGTTCATTTACACAAACCTTTTGGAGTATAGCCCATATATAAGCTGGGTATTCCCTACAGTTCTACTGAATAATAATAATAACGTAGTTTTTTGTAAAAAATAAACACAAATTTTTATTAAAACAAGTCTTCCTGGCTAGGGATTTAACTCATGAGCAGGAAACTTCTGGATCTATTTACTATCTGTCATCACATAGATATATCTAAATGTAGTGAAACTCAAGAGAGGCTGGCATTCAGGGAAGAATTCTACTTCTGATGAATCTTTATTTTGAAAATAGGTATTTTAATAGGTTCTTTTTTTTTTTCCTTCTAGAGACACTGGCACCTTTTTGGCAGAGCACAATTTCTCCTCCTCTCTCCCAGAAAAAGCAGTATACATTTAGTACTCTCTGGGCATATCATATTTTCTTTTACTTGAAAATCATAACAATGTGGTCTCACAGGGTATAGAGTTATCAGCAATTAAAATTATTTTAGATTTAATTGTGCTCTTAGTTGGAACTGGATCTTCCACTTGTCCTCTGTCTAGTGCCCTTGACTCAAATCTTTCTGAACTTGGGCCGGGGGCACATGGTTTAGCAGACAGAATAGAGAATTTGTATTTAGAAACAAGCTGTGTTGGAATCCCAGCTTTGGCTACTTGCTAACTTTGGGATACCGGGCAAATTACTTAACCTCTCTGTGACTCATTTTCCTTCCCTACAAAATGAGGGTTTGGATTAGACCCCTAGCATCCCTTCCAGTTTCAGCATCCTACAGTTTCCTTAACATCTGCAGTACATTTCTATGTAGTTTGGTGGTACCAAATCAATTTCCTGAAAGCTGGTACTTCTAGAAACTTTTATTTCATTTATGAACATTTTTTCTAAATGACTAATAATCATATGAAGATATTCCAAATCACTAAAAAAAAATGCAAGCAAAAACAACTCTAAAGTTTCACCCATCAAATTGGTAAAGATGATAAAAGAAGGAAATAGTGGTGGGACTATAGGAAGAGAAGGTAATCTACTGGGAAACAATTTAAATTATGTGAGATAGTCACTAAATTATATTCTTTGACCCAGAGATCCAACTTCAGGGCACACATCCCATTGAGTTCAATAACAGAAAGATAAAAATATCTATTGCAGAATTTTTTGTGGTAGCAAAAATCTGGAAACAAAGTGAGTGCCTAGCAAGGGCTTGGCTGCACAAATTGCGGTATGTGAACGCAATAAAATATTATCGTACCATGAATGAAAAATGACCGGGACTCAGAGAAACATGGGAAGAGTTGTACATAGTGCTGCAGAATAAAGAAAGCAAACCCAAGAGAAGAGAACATACAATGATATAATAGCCTGAAAATAAAGCAATGGCTGAACTCTGACTAATTGCAAGGAAAAATATTGTTTCTATCTGACAAAGAGTCTGGGGATGTCAGGTACAAAATATTGCACAAACTGTTGGACATGTTTACTTTGTCCAACAGTCTGGCTTAGTTGTTCATTTTTGTTACAAGGAAGGCTCAGTGATGGTACGGTAAGGTAAAGTGGAGAATATGTTGGTAAATGACTGTGATGTTATAAAACTAGAGGCAGCTAGGTAGTAGAGTGGACAGAATGTTGTACTTGGAATTAGGAAGACCACAACTTCTCTCAACCTCAGTTTCCTTGTTTGTAAAATGGAGAATAATTAATAGCACCTACCTCACAGGACTGTTGTGAGGAACAAATGAGATAATTTAATAATATGGCTCTTAGCAGAACTGAGGCAGCTAGATGGTGCCACTGTGTAAAGAGCACTAGACTTGAAGTCAGGGAGACCTGAATTCAAATATAACCTCAGACATTTGCTAGCTATATGACCCTGGGCAATTCACTTAATCTCGGCCTCAGTTTCCTCATATTTACTTCCCAGGATTGTTGTGAGAATAAAATGAAATGACATATGCAAAGCGCTTCAAAAACCTTGAAAATACTATGCAAATGCCAGTTTTTATTATTAACAACAACAATAATAAAACTAAAAGACATTAATAGTAAACTAAAGTATATATTTCCTTTTTTATTTTTAAAAATCTAAATAGGGAGTTAATTTGGGAGAATCTACCTACATACAATTTGGTCTTCCCATTTGGATACCATGTTAGTATCTCCAAAATCAGCATCAGTACTCAGTCTGAATCTCACAGTGGGAAGTTTTTGTTAATATACAAAATAATTAGACTGAATTAGGGGCAATGCTGCAGGGAGTAGATTTCTGCTCACTGTAAAAAAAGAAAAGGAAAAAAAAAGCTTTAATAACCATTGCAACCAGCATATGGTGGACTGGATTGCTGACTTGAGAGGTAATAATTTCCTTCTAAGTAGAGCCTGGCAACAGAAATCTGGATAACCCCTTTTGGTGAATATTGTAGAGGGGATTCTTGCTTAGGTATGAGTTGGATTAGATGGTTTCTGAGGTTCCTTCCAACTCTAGGATCTTGTGTATACCTATAATTTCACAGGGAAATAATGAAAAGCAGCCTCATTTTCATACTTTACCAATGCTCTATAAATACTTAAAAAAAAAACTGGACTTATGATTTCATTGGTATATAGTCTCTCTACCCAAAGGAGACTGGCAGTTGCCCTGTAACTTACAGTCCTAGAGAACTATCTGGTGGCCCTGAGAGGGTAAAGTGGTTTGCCCAGGGTAATAGAGCCAGTAGGCGTCAGAGGTGTTAGACAGAGGTCATCCTAACCCTGAGAGTGGTTCTCCATCCATTACACCACACTGCCTTTCTTGTAAATACATGTTACTACTTTAAAAAGATTAAACTAAAAGTTAAGCAAATAGTCTATATTTGCTTTCTGCAAATAATCTGAAAAAGTATCTATACAATCTGGTTCCCTATATTTAAAGTTTACTTAAGGAACATTTAAAAGTGTCACTCACTATTATAGATCTTATCTAAAAATAATGCATTAATGTCCATGGCTATGATTGTTAGTTGTAGGAAGCTTCTGGAAATCAAAGTCCTTTAGGTGAAACAAAAACAGTCTTGTTCAGATTTTAAACTTCTGTCTCTATGAATGTGTTTGGACTGGACACTTAATTTTTAAGTACAGTGGAATCATAAAACATATTCTTTTAACTTACCTGAGTTCAATTATGCACATTAGGCCTAAAAAATGTCTATTTAAATAGAGAAGGCATTCTGCTCACCATTCCACTCACTGAGTTTAAGCGGAATGAATGGGAGATGGGAGACATTAATCTACTGTTAATCTCAGCCGGCGTCATTTCCCTTGTGCCTTTCATAGTGTGAGCATCTCCAGGCACTGTGTGTAATTCTAGAATTTCCTCTTCATCATACACACTGACATTCTATTCACTCTGTTTAGGCTGATATAGTTAATGAGAGGTCAGTCTTAGTTGGCCTCACTACCATCCCTTGTTCCCTTTATCTTTCTTACATCTTCTTTTACCTCCAGTGACAAAAGAAGAAACAGTTATGTGATTGTGAGGTCACCCTTTAATAGTCAACACTTAATCGTGACACCTTTTCAAAAATATTCCACCCCCCCCATCAATTTATCTGTTTGGGGAGCCTCTCTATTTTTGTCTTCTGTTTGAGTAGAAGTCCTGGGTTCTTACAGCTGCCCTAATCAATTGCTTATTTGGGTTTTGTGAAAAATAAAATTTAGATCTGATTATTTCCATATCAACAATCTCAGATCCACTGGTTGTCTGATATGGATTGTTTTCTTTTAAAGAGGGCTTAACTTCTTTCCAGCTATATTGTTTAAATATACTGCAGTGTGCTGTATCAATAATTTAGAGAATTCTCAAGGATAATTTTGACCTTAGTGATTTCCACTGTACCATCTGACTTTAGAACCTACTACCCTCTCCTGCTCCAGGATGCAACTCAACTATAATGCTGCTGTAACTAAGCTCAGTGATTTTTCATTCATTCATTCATTCATTCATTCATCTCACAGACAACTGAGGCAAATTAAGTCACTGTGAACTTCACTTCAGCTAGTTCTAATGATAAAAAAATTATATTGACTAAGCTAACAGAAAATTGGAAAAAGCAGCCAAAGTAGAAATACTCAGTGATGCCTATTCAAGTGTTAACATTTGTTAATTAATAAGCTAACACATTAATTTTCTTAGCAATCCACTTTGAATCCTTCTCTCACGCTACCTATCACTGAATACTGATTTGCAATATGAAGACACAGTCCATTAGACTGTGAGCTCCTTGAGGGCAGGGACTGTCTTCTGCTTTCTTTGTATCTTTGGTGCTTCGTGCAGTGCCTGGGCACATAGAAGGAGAGAAATTGTTTCATGACTGACTGACTGAATGAATGAATAGTAGAACATTATATCTGGCCAAAAAAAAAAAACCCAAACCAAACCAAAACAAAACCTAAAAACCTGATAGCATATAAAATTATATAATGTGAGACTACTACTCTCTTATAATATTTTAGTATAAAATGCCAAATTTCTTTCCCCAACTATTTTCTAACTACATATAATTCTTATTACGTACAAGGATTATAATAATATCAGTACTTGTATGTGTGGTTGGTTGGTTTCTATTACTGCTACTGTGACTACTTAAGTTTTATATTCTGCTAATATCCACACTGTAAATTTTATCATTGGGACCACATAAATATATAAGATGTCATCAAGCATGTAAAAGTGAACAATTTTTGGGCAATAAAAACAATAGAAGAGTAAAACAATATGGTATTAGCTTTTGTTTTCTTTTTAATAAAAAGTGTTCTCAACAATGGCTATTGACTCAAAAAACCAAGAGAAAGTCAATTAGAACTACAATACTCTTAACAACAATCTCCCTTGGCTAATGTGACTGGTCTAAGAAGAGATAAGCCATATAATTTTACAGGAAGAAAGTCACTGAGTCCTTCAGAAAACACAGTTTGGCAATCTATCTTCAATATAAAATAATGAGGTGGCAGGAGTGCGATGGAAAAAACAGTCTTCGAAAACATCACATAAGGGAATCCAGCTGTGCTTGCATGGTCTCTAGCTATTTACAAGAAAAAAGAGAAAAAGAAGAGGGGGTAAAAAATTCATGTGAAACCTTGTTTAAAAACATGCAAATAGAATAGAAAAAACTATGTCAACAACCATGCATATGAAATCCATTCACAAAGCAATAAAAAACCCCACCACTCATGAATACACTTTGTTTTTTATGAAGAGTTTAGAATTTAGTGCTGTAACTTTGCTGTTCAATTTTTAAAAGATTGCCTAAATGTTACTGTTTTTAATGTGTCCAGCTGTTTTTCTGGTAAATTATTACTGCATAATAACAAGGTTTTAAAAGGGGGGCAGAGAGGTACTATTTTTTGCTAGATTTTAAAATCAGTATTTTTACAGAACACTGAATGTGTTCAAAGCTGAATCTTCATCTTGTCTCCTATATCACTCCTCCATCCTCAGCACTGAAATGAGGCTATTTCAACATTACCTATACATAAAAGATCAGAAAGACTGTGAATACATGCCTCTTTAGTTAATGTTTTACATGTGGATTAACAATCCCACTGCTTTAATTAAAACCACTTCCATCTTCTTCCTGCTTTTGTCAGATTTTATTCATTTAGGCAACGTTTCCCACTGTGAAACATAAGGTGTTTACAAGGGAAGTTGAGCATACACCACTTCATAATTGAGTATTTAAAAACACAAATTTATAAAGTAAAGGAAACTTAAAATACCATATATCAAAAGTCCTTTTAAAAAATACAGACCTTGTTATAGAACTCAAACAACTCCTTGTGGTTGAATTCCATACAAACTTTCTCCAAGTTCTGCCAAAAAAAAAAAACCCAACAAAAAAACCCAAGTTTAGTCCACAAGCTCAATTTTTCTCTCTGGCTGTCTTCAGAGTGTACCCTAATATTATTATCTGACTCAAAGATTTTTACAAGAACATTTTCTTTCTGCTCTATTCAACCATACCATTCCTAGATGTCCCTAAGACACATTCTACTTTAGCAAGAGTGAAAATCTATAGCTGCGTCTGTACCATAAAGTGACTACACAAAGGTTAATAAATAACATAGATATCAGCAAGAAAATAATTTTGTTACCAGTTTTTTCAACTCAAAGATACTACACAAGCTTGTATTTCATCTTTCTCAGCAGTCCATTTGATATGTACTAAATACTATTACCCAAAGACACTGGAGGCAGTGTATTTGATTGAACTCATGGAACCATTAATGCAATATGCCAGCACAGAGCTAATACCTCCTAGCATTAATCTAACAGTTACAATCTTAATGTCCTAAGATTGTTACATTCAGACTCAGCAAAAGTGAACAATGAAAGTGATGATTTCAAGGCTGGGACTTTTCTTCCCTTTTCAGAATACATTATATCTGCATATGCGCACACACATTTTATAAAATCCATTAGGAATAGTACAGATGCTGAGTAATAATATTGTTGGCATCATTATGATATCAAAGAAGGGCTACATTATAAACATAGTGTTAGTTACTTATGTAAAGCAGGAAGCCGCTAGTGAACAAATGTTTGTTGATTCATTAAACATTTAAATTTGATGCAATGTCTTTTGGGAATTAAAATGAACAGTGAAAGTCTCTGTGGGAAAAGTACACAGACTGTTGGACTATACAGCCCAGAGACCAATGCTGATGTCTTCGTAAATTCTAAAAATCTTAGTACTTATGTAATGCACTGTGCCTTTCTTCTGTGGATATTTTATTTGATAACAGGAAAGGAAAAGGACATTTTGTGTGAAATGAGAAAAGAAGGATGAGGAAAAACACAGGCTGTGCTGATAAAATTCAAGAGAAAAGCAGCTCCTCAGATAAAAGTTCTCAGATGGGCTGAGAGAGAACAGCTCTATATAGAGGGAAAGGTACTGAGTGATGGTAAAGATGGCAACGGGTTTACTGTTTCCCAGCAATTAACTTGAAAACGATTGTTTTCAGGATTCTGAAAGATATTGCTGGTAAGAGTTAGGGACAGACTAAATCAAAGAAATGTCTGGGGACTACAGGAAAGCTGTATCTGTCCTCATCTGAGAAACACAGATTGTAGATTACTCAGTCTGAGTTAAGAGATGGCTCACCACTTGAATCCAGGTCAGAAGATGAGGAGTCAGCAAATGAGAAAACAGAGTAAAGAAGAAGGATGGGAGAAGCTAACAAACGAGAGAGACCACTAAGAAAAAAATGTTGGCAGAAGCCAAGATTTCAGAGGCCAGAGAAGGGAAGAAAGAAAGAAGTCTATGGAGCTGAAGAGCTGCCAGAGTTGAAACCAATTGACTAGAGGCTCTCCTGGTGACGTAGGGCGCTGATTTGATCGGGGAAGTGTTCTGCTTGTGGAAAGGAAAGAAATCAAGGAAAGGAGAATCCCCTGCTCTGCACGAAGAGATGGCTAAGGAAAAGGCTGTCTTGCTCTCTAGTATCTTCCACAGCTTGAAAGACAGGAAACTCCTCAAAGATCTGCCTACGTTGCCCTAAACTGCTCTTTATGGCTAAAGAAATGAAAACTCCTTAAAGTTGATAGGATAGCAAGACCTGAGTAGCTTTGCAGATCCAGGATTAATGTGAACTGCTTTTTACTGAGACAATGTCACACTGCATAAACACCTAACCAAGTGGTACAGACCTGGGAAGTTCTGTAGACCTTAGGCTTACAGTATAAGGCTGATGGCATAGACTGTTTCCTAAAGAGACCACAGACATCTACCCATACAGTCTAGAATTTTGACCTGCTCTAGACATATGGGTTTTCTTCCTCACATTTCACAAGTGCTAGGTTTCCATAAGTTTGTGCCCTCTACTTCCATGTATATTGTATATATTGGTGAGAGAATGAGACCTAGGCTTGTGGGTGGATTTAAAAAAAATTCCTGAAGTTGCATCCTATATAGTAAATATTCTATTATGAGAATATTTACTTCTGCCTTCTTGTTTAGTAAATCCTTCCTGTTTAAGAGTTAATGGCATCATTGTGACTGATTTGTGTAAATGAGAAACACTGATGGGGCCCCAAAAGCCACAGAAGTAGCTAGCAGGAGTATATCTTCTTACATCAAGGTTATCCTGAGAGTAAGTCGTGAGCAATGTCTTAGTCATGTACCCACCACTTCTGGGGGATCACCTAAACCTGTCAAAAATGCATAGATTGGGGTGAGAGGGCCAGAACCAACCTAGAAAAAGGGAGAGCTTAGACAGTTGGGGGCTGGTGCTATGCCCTTTATAACTGTCATTCTTATAATAATAATAATAATAATAATAACAACATGCATTTATATACTGCTTTAAAGTTTGCAAAACTCTTTCTTACAACAAGCCTATAAGGTAAGCAGTGGCTAATATTATTATATCTCTTTCAGATAAGGGAATTGATGCCTTATAGCAGAACTAGATCTTGAATTCTGATTTATTCATGGGTTTCTAAGTCAGTCTTAGTGTCCCTTCCAAAAGTGAAGTGACTTGGTCAGGGTCACAAAGGCAGTGATTTGCATAGCTGTTTGAATGTTTGAATGTTAATTTTGATTCCAAATTCAGTGCTCTGTAATACCAATGCTCCAAATAGTTGAACGGTACCAAACACATTTTGAAATACATGCATTTGCCTTTTTTTGAATATCTTATACTATTCTCCTTACTTATTCCCAGCTTAGTTTTTCTTTTCTTGTTTCAATGTTCACTTTCTAATTCTTTGTCTGTTTAATGTTCTTTAAGTTAATATTACCATGATTCTAAGTTATTGCTATCTATTTCAATGACACTTTCCCCAAAAAGCCAATTAAGGTTGTGTACAAAAACTGTTCCACTTCATAAATCCCAAGCTCACAGGATCAAGTTTAGCACTGCTTCATTTTCATCCAGATATCAAGGTATTTAATCCTTAATATTAGTGTGTTCATATGTCTGCTGAAAAGTCTCATCCCTGTAAGGCTTTCTTTAAGAGAATAATTACTGTTTCCCAAAGAGACCAATTCATTTGCAACTGCCCTTCTTAGTGGACATTCCAGAACTTAGCCGCGTAGTAGTCACAATTATTTTACTGTCATTAACTCCAAAGACAAGAGTTTGACAAACATGTAACAAACACTAGTTCCCCAGTAGTAACAAGGAGTGGATAGGTCCACTTAGGTCCTGAGAACAGTAAGTCTACTTTATTCCATTTCCCATCCTGGACAAGTGTAAGGAATGAATATAAACAAAGCAGAAAAGAGGGCTTGTCCCCAGCTGGCGGCCTAGCTAATTCCAGAGCAGAAGCCAAACAAGATATAACCACACACCTCTTCTCAACAATGACTTTAAGCTAATACTGTGAATATCTTGAGCAAAACTTACTAGGAAATTTGTGTCCCTAATTTTGAGTTTTCACCTTTCAAACCATATAAAGAAGAAAGTGAAGTGACTGCTAACTTTGTTGCAAAGGTAGTAAACGATGAAATATAACTACAGTGAAAATGGGGTAGAACAAAACTATTCTTAAACATAGGTACTTTTAATGGACAATGAGCTGGGCCTAGAATTAGGCAGGAGAAGAATGTATTGGGTTGTATTTGAGAAACTGTGCAATGCTTTCAATAATCCAAAGCTGCTCCTTGCCACAAAGTACATTTTTAATACCAATTGCTCAGAACCACAGAACACCAGAATTTTAAAAGAATCAAAATCACAGGTCATATAAAGGGCAAAGGAAAGATGTATGGTGGGTGTAACTAATCTGTAGTATATTATAACAATGACTTGTGTAACAGAAGTGGGAAAAAAAGCCATCATCAAGTACACGTACTATGGAAAAGGAGGTAAGCTGGCTATGCAGTGAGAATGATCGATCACAGATGGATAGTCCAAGGGCTACACTGGTATCCATCAATGCCATCCACTGGTATTGACCTATCAGAGTAAGTAAGGATGTTTTAAGTATCTGTGAACAAAATCCTTTATGTACATTGGTATGCTGTTTAGAGAACTAAATACTTATTTAGCTAAAAGCACAAGAAAGAAAAACATCAGGATCTCATCCTGATCTGAGAGGATTTAGGGAAGCCTTGTAAGAAGAGGAGTGTGTGTGTGTGTGTGTGTGTGTGTGTGTGTGTGTGTATGCATGTGTACATATCTGCCTTTGTGATATGAATATATGAAGGTTTGGTCTCTCTGGAGCATAGGTATCATATTTATCCATATGTCCATATACCAAAATGTACCCCCAACCCCATTCTTTTCTTCTGCTTCTCTTTGTTTGCCTTGAGATCTCATATACACAGTTCTCCATTTTCTTATCTTTAAGAATAGAGAAGAGAGCAGGAGAGAGAAGTGGTGAAACTTTATCTGAAATATTTGCTTAAGAATTAAGTAAGCATCTTCTATTTGTTTAACATAGAATGCTGCTTTAAAAAAAACAAAAAACAACTCATAACATATTTGTAGAATTCATTGTGATGTACAATTCCAAAATTAAGGGTAGCCAAAGGCCTCCAAGAAGATGGAATAAGTAAAAGGTCTGTAATTTTACCAGGTTGAGTAACTTCTGGTGTGAGAAATCCCTCCACCAAAACACATAGTCCTATGAAGTTGCTACTACAGGCAAGCTTAATATCAGTAACCTATTCAGGTTCGATGTGGGGACAAAATAAGGCATTTGCAAGTCACTGAATAATTAACAAATGGGAATTTACTTTGCTCTAGAATAGTAAAGATATGCAATAAGATACTGTGGTACATATCTTCTCTGGATGTACTCTCCCTCCACCCTAATTTTGAATAGAAATGCATCTGGATCAGCAGGGTAGGTATGGTGACTCTTATGG